TAAAAATTAATTCTACTATGCTATGATACCTCAAAAAGGTTACAATAATAATTACAATTGATATAACCATTCTAAATACCTTTCGTACAAAGTTAAACTATGTTTTATAGAACAAAAGCAAGTGTCCGGATACTTTTGAGCGGTAGTGTATGTATAAATATAGTTTAGTTTAGCTTAACATTAAGCGATCTTTTCCCCCTCTCCTCATCCCGAAAAAACTGCTCCAAACAATACCAATATCAATCTCTATTACTCTTATCACAGAAAAAAGTTGATGAAAACATCGATTTTTACAATATCCATCGATTTTATGAAAACTAATGTTGCTGCCGTAGTTTCTGTTTCAAACGGTTCATCTATTGTATCTACGAACCTCGTCCACCCCGATGCGTTTATGGAAACGGCAGATAAGTATTCATTCCATGTTGACGCACATATGCTACCACGGATGTGCACGTATATGCACAGTTTAATGTAGTAATATCAACAGTTTTTTTGCGATTATTTCGAAAACTAAGACCGACCCGGAGTTACATGTATACGAAGAAGTTGCTTAGAATTACGTTTACAACAACATATTAAAGAATCATAGAAATCGGTGAGGAGCACCATTTTGTAACTAATTACTTATTTTTTAAATAATAAACAACTAATAATTTTACATTTTTGTTAAATATAAGTAAATAGTTAGTGTTATTTAAAAAATTCTTTTAATAATTGCTCCCTAAACTATAACAATAAGTGTAGGTAATTTTTTATCCATTCTCTTACTAATTATGGCTATCAACATAAGTGTATGCTGAATCTTGTGAGTGACTGTATAGAATCTAGTCTAGTGGTAGCAAAAATTTTTTACGATTATCTTTGAAACTAAAAAAAAGATGACAGAAAACAAATTATTCAAAATGAGCATTACTACAACATATGTCCATTTTATGAAAATTGGAAACATGGTCCATACACTGCAATATTACCAATTACTAAATTCGAGAAGACGCATATTGTGATGCAAATAATTCTTCCCTCGAAGTCATATTTTGCAAGATATCAAGATCATCGATATTCTTACATGTATAACTAGATATTTTTGTTATAATGTAATAGCTTGAATCAAGATGAAATTATTGATCCATATCATTTTCTAGTATGATTTTCAAGTAACCTTAGGTGCGAAAACTTTAGAAGTTTTTGAGGCTTGATGAAAAGCAGATTTATGAATATTCAGCGACCAACAGTGTTATTATTGCAAGCATATATTTACATTTGTTATTAAGAAACGTATTATTGATATCAAATTATGGGTATCACAATTATTGTCAATCAGTGTTTGGTATTTCTTACTTGTACTTTACAATTGCATTCTATATGAAAACCTTAGAATTCATCAAAATACATATTACTCTATAAGATGATAGAAATATTTAGTTTATGGGGATATTTTTGTCCAGAGCATTATTTTTGATGATTAACTATTAACTTCTTTTGTGATTTGTTTAAAATCAAAAAGTTATTTTTGTTTCATTTTAATCCTTTTGTACACATGTTTAATACTATTCATACTGTTCAATACATTTTTTCAAATCACGGTATATAAAAATATGCGAGATCTGACACATACAAGTGAGGCAACATTTTTATTAGTATGAACATAAATACCTATGGGACGAAACACAAAAAATAAAATATGTTTTCATTTAAAAATATAGTGATAGTCTAAAGTTCAAATTCTGATTTGTATATTCTTTTTCATCTTTAATAGTAATTTGAACAAGATCTTCTTTGTGTTGACCAACCTGTATACATAGTATCTATTGCTGTTGTTCTCTATATATCCATTTGTATGCAAAAGAAATGAAAAATATTTAAAATTAAATGTTACTTGTTCTGCTTAAAGTAAATCTTCTTAAAAATTTATTAGAAGTGACCAAAAAGAATCTAAAAACCCCTTCCTTTCTAAATCAGATCATTTATGAATAACTGTCAAGCGAAAAGGAAAAACGTATCTGCAATTACAGTATAATTGTGCATCATTGAGCTCATCAAATAGATATAATTAACAAATGAATTTTACAAATTCAAATAAATCTTTTTACACATGCGTTGACGAACACATATATTTTAAGAAAATGCAAAAATCAAAAAATTGAATTTTGCAAGTTCTAGATCATAATATCTCCTTAATAAACTGATTGAAAATATTTATCTTATTTTAAGGTGTATTCTATTCTAAAATTATTTATGCTGGTTTATTACTAATATAAAAATTGTACTGTGTATTGAAAACCTCTTATTTGTAGTTCCAGTGCAAACCAACATAAGCGAGAAATTTTTTTTTTATTATTTTAATGCAAGATATCTCAAGACATGTACTCCTATGGTACACTATGGAAGTTATTAAATAATGTTTATTTATTATCGAATGATATATATTTTAAAGTACTCTGAAAATTTCAGTAACAGTGAAATTATAACTAGAAATTAGTAACAATATAATTAGTTTAAAGTTTATGCCTAAATTAATTCTTTAATATATCTTACAATTCGTATGAACCCTCAGACACAAATTAGTTATTACATAACTTAAAACAATTGATTATGATCATTTATTACATATTATTAACCTTGTTACACATGTGTATGTAAATAGAAATTTATTTCCACAAACATGTTGATTTTGTAATATTTTGTAACATTTAATATGTAAAAAATACAACAAAATATATTAAGACATTTATTCTACTGCTGTA